CCGCCCTGCCAGTGACAGCTATCGGGCTAGCAGGGGGAGGGGAGCAATAGGCGAGGCGGCGGAATGTCCACCTGACGTCCCACTTCATGAACTAAGTGCAGGTCAATCGATATATATTTTTGCCATTCCCGGTATTTATGGGCATATACGTACAATATATAGAGAGGGAGAGTGAGATATTTGAGCCAACCCAAACGGCGACAATAACAGCTGAGCTACTCATGAGAAATTCATTGCGTTCGCCCCTGACTGGCCAAAGCCAAGCAAAGCAGCATTAAATGGCTTTGGGATTTCGGAATAGAGCCTTGAACAACAGCAGGAGGTACATGAGGATAATTCGAGTACTAATCTAGATGGACAGAGAAATCTACTACGAATGGCTAGAAATTGTGATTGATTATTCGTTTAAAGAAAACATTTATTGGATTTATTTTAATAAGTATTAATGAAATACTAGTAGGGCGAAGTGAAGACTTTTAATTTAAAAAATAAATATATAAATAATATATACTATATGATATGTTATACCCAATATATCATATATTATATATATTATTATTAAATATATTATTTATTATATCAGTTGATCCATAGATAGATTTAATATGTCGAAAAACAAAAATTGTAAAAAATTTATTATTTAATATTGATTAATCTAAATAACTATGAAATTGATATATCAAATGTTGTGTAAAATACATAGGATAGAAATAGAGGATAGACCCATAAGAATTTATTCCAAATTGCAGCTCTTCTCTCTTAGCAGAAGTATTTTAATTTTTCCATATATCGACTTGAGCTAACGCTATTTTTGCCGGATTTATCAACTTTCCATTTCTTGACTTTCTATTCCTCAATTTTATTACTCACTCAAGGATCGAAGTTAACATTCCACTACGATTCCATATCAGACTTATTCCTGACTTCGTCAACAGCAAAATGCACTAAATATTTCAGTAAATTAATTTTGTCATTCCTTAATAAAATAGCTAAGGTCGCATGCTCATAAAGCCATCAAGTAGAGGTCATTATTTTGGGGCACACAAATAACTGTATTTAAAAAGTTTGTTAATCTTTTGGCCTCACAATCATTTGTCATATTTGCTCATTCAATAATAAATTGTGGCCACTTGAATCATAAATTCAATTATGCGGAAATATAGTTAATGGTGTTCGGCCCTGGTCCGGCAAATTGATTAAATAATAAAATGTCATTTGTGGCATATAATATTGGCCAGCTGTTGGTTGAATGAACCCAAATGCCAGAAATAGACCACCTCACCGCCTTACCAAAATGACAGAGGCATAATCATTGGATGTCCAAATTGATGTGGAAGCCAAGCGTTGAGATGGTTTTTAGTTTTTAATCAAGTTCTTGGGTCTTGGCTATCATTAACATAACTGAGTGGTCGTCATCATTAGGCTGAACTTTGCGCCAAAAATAAAAACTGAACCCTCAACAGCTGTTGCACAAGCACACACACACACACACACACAGATACACACGCACACAGGGAGTTCTAATCGAACAAAAAGCAAAAGTTCCAACAGTTTCTTAACTACCCTTCCGGGCAGCCAATGACCAGGCAATGGCAAATGCTGCCGCCCCAGGCACAAGTCTCATTACAAATAAATATCTTGGACTATTTATAAAGCCTGGACCTGGGCAGCCTTTTGCTTTTTCGTTTTCGCTTTTCGTGTTTTTCCTCTCGTTTCTCTGCTCTTTGCGCAAATTATGCAGATTAAGGGGTCAGTCAGTCCTTAGACTCGAATCTACACAGCTGGCGGCCGTTAAGATCTCTCTCCCTCTCCCTCTCCCTCTCTCTGGCTCTGTTTATTGCACCTGGTTGGGCAAACAACTATTGCTTTGCTGCATATAAAATAAAAAACGCAAATTTACATGAAAATCAAATTTTCATGTTTTGGCTCTGCATAAATTGTTCGAGTAGCCAAAGCCGTATAGCCGTAGCCGTCATTAAACGGCAGCCATTTTATGGCTGTAGATATGTATGTAAATTGAATACACCGGAGAGTATCGCTAGTCGCTATGTAATAGTAAGTGTTGTCTCTCTCACTCCCTCTCCATCTCTCTCTCTCTCTCTTTCTCTCTTTGCTAATTTAATTGTGTTTCTGTGCCAATCCACAGCAAAGTTTATAGTATTGCATTAGGCGCTTGCCAGTCCGAAATCAGTTCATAATAAGCTCGGCACAATCGCAATTTACAGATGTGCCTTACTTTCTGGGTCACATGTGTTTAACACACATGCTTAACTTTTGGCCCCGCCTCACTCGGCTTTCCTCCTCCTCCTGCTCCTCCTACTCTCTTGCCATGGTAAAAGTTTTGTGCAGCGCCAAAAACTATGCCGCACTCTCATATTGCATTGCGCCAGTTGTGGCTATATTTGTCTATCCGTCCGTCCGTCTGTCCGTCCATCCGTCCGTCTGTCTGTCTGTTTGCCTGTGTCGGTCTGTGTTTGTTTAGTTGGCTGGTTTTGCCTTATTTTTCTTATTTTTTTTCCCAGATTTTCTATGCCGTTTTCAATGCCAAAAATTTGCGCGTTAATTTGTCTGCAGTTTTTTCCTCTTTTTTTTTCTTTTTCTTTCTTTTTTTTTTCGTCGACTTTTGAGCTTATCAGCCAAATGCAAAATGTTGCAGGCGCAAAAGTTTTTCGTTTTGTTTCTTTAGCGTTTTCACGTTAGTTTTTAAACCATTTTAATTGAGTTTTGTTGGCCATTTTGGCCCATTTTTTGTTGCATTTTTATGAGGTTTTAGACAAAGATTTGTTTCAAATTTATCGTTTTGAGTTTTTAGTTAGCTCGAAATGGGCTGCAGATATTTCTATGCAGATGCTTGTATTGTTTGGATTTTTATATTTATATATGTATGTATATACCCATGAATGCATCTGGGTTGTTAAAATAATTCTTGGTTTATTTTTAATATAATTTATAAATATATATCAATATGTTTCAAATAATTCATGGTTTATATTGAATGTATTTTAGATGTATATAAATATATTTAAAATCATTATTTGTTTATTTTAAATCTATTTTATTATTTATACTTGTTTATTTGCATAGAATTTTGTTTTGCTTAAATACGTGTGAGATCTCTCAATTTAGCAATTTTGTTTTCCGTATTAAAGTCACATTCGAGTTGATTGAACATTTCTCCCGAATGTGCTTAAGCCAATGTCCCTGAGAGAAAGTGAATGTTTGTGGTGTTCACAATTTGGCTTAGCCGCACAAGATGTTTGCTTTGTCTTTGCCATGACTTGGGGCTACTTGCTGCCAGATGATTTTTGCTCCTATCGTATCTGTGCAATATGTCAACTCGTTCAATCCACAACAATGCATCGCACACACACACACACACACACACACAGATATACGCATATTTTGCATTTGCTGAATGCATTCGCGTTGTCACAACAACCAACAGGAACAAAAATAGAAAGAAAATTGAGAGAGAGAAAAAAGAAAAGCCAATTTCAAATTCGCGCTAGGCATTTTGTCTTTGTTGTTGTTGCTGGAGTTTTCTTTTGTTTTTTGGCCGAACAAAATGCGTCAATGGCAGGCGACAGGCAGCCCCAAAAAATATGAGCCCGAAAGCAACAACTATATTCGCATTGAACATTTTTGTTACTCTCTGATTGTTGATAAATATGACAATAAAATGGACACATATCGACCAATAACAACGACAACAACAACAACAACAACAACACCAACTGCAACAGCAGCGGCAAACAATTTCAAATGAACGCAATATTTTTCTGTGTGCACTCTCGCGGTACAGTTAAGCTTGGCGCATAACGGATGCCAGGTGTGTGTGACGTGTGAAAATGCTGACAACAATAAGAACAACAACAAGGCCGCTAATAAAAGCAAGCCATGCACAGCTTTTGGGCGTCAAGAGTTTAACATTGAGTACAGACTGCAAAAAATGAAGAAACAGAAACAAAGTTTACTCTGCTTTCTTTTTGGGCTCTCACTGTGCTGTGGCGCCATCTGTCGGCAGGCAGCGTAGAGCAAGAGACAACGTGTGTGTGATTGTGTGTGTGTGTCTGTGTGCTGGTAGAACGCACGTGATAAGCATGTGAAATTTTATGGCAACTCTATTTGTAACTTTCAACCTATGTGTGTGTGTGCATGTGTGTGTGTGTGTGCATGTGTGTGCGAGCTGCAACAACTTTTTGCTTTGAGGCTTGGCAGCCATCTCGTTTCCGCACTGCACTGTCTGTCCCACACACACACACACACTGTGTCTCCCTCTCTCTCTCCCTCTCTCTCTCTCTCTCTCACTCACTCGTTGGCTGCCACTGTCTAGCACTTTTGTGTGTGCACTGACTTGGAAAATACTTTTTGTGATAACATTTTATGGCTTGACAAGCAGCAAGGCAAACTACGCGCATCTCTCCTTTTTTTTTTGGTCCACCCAAAAAAAAAAAAAAAAAAAAAAAAAAGACATGAGAGATGAAAAAAATTATAAAAGAAACAATTTTTTTATGTATATTTTGTGTGTTGCAAAGTAAAGCATTATGGAGCCCTAGGCAGGCACACACACATACATATATGTATATGTATATATGGGTGTGGGATAGTTGGGCGTGAGGCGCTGGCATCAATTTGCAATTTGACAGCTGCCTATAAATAGCAAGAGAAATGACAACGCCAACTTACAATCACTTTGACATTGATGGAACTTGCTAAACTGTTCGAACTTGAAAGCCAAACGGGGGAAAAAAAGAAACAAAGAATAGATGAAAACGGGAAAGCATGGAAAAACAGTTGAGAACTTTTCGGAGTTAATTTTAAGCGACTTGATTGGGCTCATTCAAAATTTAACGCACTCAAGACAAATATTTAACTATGAAATCTCTGGCTTACCAAGTGAGCAGTAAGAGCATCAAGAGCTTTAATATTTATAAATCTAATATTGATCAGGCAACGTCTTTTATGCATTGCGAAATGCATCAATAAAAACAATTTAAATATTTATTATAAATTTGCATATGTTTACTTAATCAATTCGAAACTTGATATAGATAAAATCAAATTTGTTTGTTTTCTTTTTTTTTGGGCCGGTATTTTTTTTTTTTTTTTTTTTTTCTGTTGTCTGCGCACAACAACGCAATACACTGCAACAAAATGGCCTCTGTTTTATTAACGAACAAAAATTTTGAATGTTGATTACATTTCCATTAGTCAATTAGTCGATTGTGAAATTATAACGTTTCTTGTTCGACCAGTTGATGTCCTCTAGAACCCTAGCCTCCTCTATCTGCTGCAGCTCATCGAACTGCTCGAAGTCGTCGAGCTCCAACTCCTCCTTGCTCTTCAAAGCGCTCGGCGATGATGAGGGGGGCAGGAGAGCCAACTCATGCAGCTTGAATCCATAGATGCTGCAGGCAGATGAGAAAGAGTTAGAGAAGGAGTAAGAGAGAGAGAGAGCGAGCTATGAGTCAACTGACCGTGGTATGTACTTTTCGCTGGGCGGCTGGGGCAGTAGGTGCGGCAGCTGCATGAAGAACATGTGTGGAAAGCTACAACCGAACATGGCGCCATCGAGCAGGGCGCAGCGCTCGTTCGGCTGATAGATGTCCTGGCAGCGTGGACAATAGACCTTCACGTGCGACTCGCCAATGCGATCGGTCAGGCCCAGCGGCAGCACCGCCTGCTCGTTGCAGAAGATGCGCGGACAGATGCCAAAGTCGCCGCGCTGATACTTGAGGCACATGTCCATGATGCCGCGGCGCGTCAGTATGTACCGTGCATGGATCAGGCCGTACACCTGCTCGGCCATTTCGGGATGCGTGTCCGCATCCGCGTCCCTATCGAAGCCATACTCTATATCGAACTCCGAGTCGAGTATGGCGTCCAGAGTGTCCTGAAAGTTGTCCACCATCGTCTCCAATCCCGTCAAGTTGAACTTGTCGCGCGCATATTCGGAGGGCACGCGGCACAGAAACTCATTCGACGGCAGATTAACAAACCAATTGATCCACGAGCCGTCTGCTTTCGACATGTTTCAGCTGTTCTGTCGTAGGTCTATATATAGTTCGAGTGAACAATATTTATCGATCGACGTTGAATTGCCGCTCTCACTTGGAGACAGTGCTTATACTCGTCGTTTTTTATACAAAGAAATATATATATTTATATATATATATTTTACTTTATGCTGGAGAGAGCTGTGTATGACTGAATCTCGTCTAGCTATATGTATGAATGTGAATTCCGAACAAGCCCCGTAAGCATCTTTCTTTAAGCTGAATGGCATAGCTTACTTTGTCTTTACGAATTTATCTCTTATTTTATATTTTATTATTTTTTTTTTGTAATTATTTTTTTGTAATTAATATTTTTTTTTTTATTTATTTACTTATTTAGTTGTTTTTTTATGTAATTATTTTTTATTAATTAATTAATTAATTTTTTATAATTATTTATTTTATTTTAATACTATTAATTTTTTATTTACTTATTTATTTATTTATTACTAATTATTCAATTAATTTTTTTTTTATAATTATTTATTTTATTCTATTACTATTAATTTTTTTATTTATTTATTTATTTTTAAATATTTTTATAGGACTTATTTAGTTGTTTCCTTATGTATTTATTTATTATTAATTAACTAATTAACTAATTTTTTTATAATTATTTATTTTATTCTATTATTATTTATATTTGTATTTATTTATTTATGTTAAATATTTGTATAGGACTTTAACTAAAATAATGTGCGCTTCATTTCAATATATATTTTTTTGAAGAGGGTTTTGTTACTATTTAAGAGAAATTCAGCTGGTTTTCATTTTTAATGTTAGATATTACAAACAATTTGTTTGGTTAAATATGTGTATATTTTATTAAAAACAAGTTATCTACTATTTATACTATACCGATTAATTCATGTCCATTTTGAAATCCAACGGGTGCAATATCTTCAGTCTTTCCTTGGCCATAAATTCAGCAATAATATTTCATGGGGTATTCTTTAAAGTGGATTTTCTTTCAAGGTATTATTTAAACGATATTTCTCGCAAATCGCGCAAATTGTATGGCATTAGAAATGCGCACAGCAGAGGACTCTGCACACGCGACAACAAAGGAAATAAACACGCATGCTTATGAGGTCATCAACAGTCATGAAATTTTTGTTTGCCAAGGGGTCGGAGCTCTGCGGCGGAGCTGACAGGACCAAGCGAAACGCGAACGCGAAGGACGCGACAAAAAAGAGGTAGAGGGGATCGCTGGGTTGTCTCAACTAGCCATATTTGTAATTCGTGTTCGTGTATGTGTGTGTGCAGTTGTGTTTGTCATTGGCACTTAGCCTTATTAGTATGTGCAACGGGCAACAGTCGTTGCCGCTGCAAAGTGCTGATGGAGCTTACCAAAAAAAAAGTGGAAGGAAAGGAAAAAAAAAAATCAGAAAAGTACGCAAAAGTACGTGCAGTGCACTGTGCCCGCCGCTCAAAAGTATGCTACGTTTATGTGACTCGACTGCTGCTGAAACTGAAGCTGGAGCAGCAGCAGGAGCAGGAGCAGGGGGAGGGGGAGGGGAGTGGTCCTTGTGCAATGCGCGTAATGTAAGCAACGCCAAAAAAGTATGCAATATTAAAAATATACTTGCACATATAAACATATATAAATACATATATTTGTATATATGTATGTGTATATACATATTGTTATGGCTACACACACACTCACACATACTCACACACACGTCAGACAGCTGCGCAATAACTGTACATTAAAAGTCATTGCATTCATGATATTATTTTTTATGTATTTCTGCCAGCTTTGACTCGCTTTGTTTGTTTGCGTGTGTATGACTGTGCATGTGTGTGTCTGTGTGTGCGCTCTTCATATATTTTAAAGTGTTGCCTTTATTTTGGTTAGAAAATTTCATTGCTTTCTGTATTTGGCATAGAATCTCGAATTTAAGAGATTCTTGTGACTGTTTGATACCCTGCAATTTGTAAGGCTTCAATAGAAATTTAGAACACAAACACTTTTGCCCATTTGAAGGCATATTTGTCAGAGTATTTGGCCGTCGTTCAGTGGCCTTTGCATACTGCAGCTTCAGCTCACATTTTTATTTCTATTTGACGCTCATCATTTGCCGCTGCTTGTTGCAATGTTGCCCTTTGGGCTTTCACATGAGTGCTTTGGCCCCGACCACTGCACACTGTCATGCCCCCAGGCCACGCCTACTGTGCATTGTGCAACTTTCAGTGAAACAAAAAAAAAAAAAATTTGTTTTTGGCGCTAATGCTTTTGTGATGAGTTTTGCCAGGCATAAGAAAAAAAATGAGTTGAAAATGTTTTATTATATTTTTTTCTTCTGCTAAAGAGCCTTTTAAATAAATAATAAATAGACAAAAGTGTTGAATTTTAAATAGATATTGTTTGCAGCATATGTCCGGCTCTTAATTGATTTCATTTGAGGCATTTCTTGCATACTTTGGCTCTCATTGTTGTTGCTGTGAAATAAATGGGAGCAGAGCAAAAATTACAGAAATTTTGCGGTTTTAGGTCATTTAATTAAATACCCAAAGGTTGCCCACGACAAAGGTGAACTGAAAATATGCACAGCAATAATTTAACAATTTAAAGCATGCAAATATTTAGATATTTAACACTTGATACCAAATTCGAAAATTAAATAAAAATTCCTTGAACTTGTTTATTTCACATTTTAATTGATTTTCTTTTTCTAATTTCCTTGCAGGTAAGCGTAACAGACGTGCAAATTTATGCCATTCTCTTGAATGATTGCAACAACAAAATCGAATCAATCACAGGCATTTATATAACATATTTTTAATTTATGCATTTTAGCTCTATAAGCAAGTAAAAGTAGAAAATATTGACACTAAATTTGGGAAACAATAGTTAAGTGGAGCATAACTGGGATGATAGAGAATACTCTCTATAAGACTTTTTGTCTGATTATTTAGATAGAGAAAAGTCAAATTAGTTGAGTAAAATTCTCAACAAATTCACAAATAAATATATATATATATATATATATATATATATATATATATATATATACAAATAGATATATCTACATTTTATATATATATTTGGTTCATAGAGCCTCTCATAACTCAGCTTTGTTGTGTGTAGAGCTGTCAAACAAATTGAATTATTATTTATTTTCAATTTGTTGGGCGAAAGCAATGCAGCAAATTAAATGCAATTCAATTTGGTCAAAATAAATTGTTTATGTGTATGAGTGTGCGACTGTGTCTATCTCTCTGTCCCTCGCGCTCTCTCTCTCTCTCTCTTTCTCTGCTAAAAAAAAGAAGGCAGCAAACAATGAGCGATGCGAATGAAGCAAAGAAACACACAACACATGTTTGCCCATGTATACAAAGCAAGAAGCAGACAATAAAAGCAAAAGCTGATACAAGTTAACCGCAAAAGAGCTGCCAAGCGTTGGCAACGCTGGCCGAGTCGAAGGACACTGGGAACAGGTTAAGTCGCTTTCAAAATGCTGGACAATTTTCCAGTGGCTGGCGCCGCCCGTTGGCAGTTGCTTCATTTTGAGTCAACACGGCCAAGATGGTATCCATCGCAGCCTTTATCCTTTGGCAAAAATTCAATATTTTCCAAACAAATAACAACAACAGCAACAACAATGGCAGTAAGCAACAGCTACGCACTGCGAAGGATAACATATTAAATTTGCCAATAGCATCGGCTGGCAAAAGGACAATGCCATAAAGACAAGAAATCAATTTTTTTATTTTGTCCTTTTCGTTTCCTTGTGCAGAGAAAACAATTTTCCAACAATAAAAAATGGCCCAGGCGCTGACTTGTCGTAGGGTATAGGGCCGGGGGTTATGCCAGGGGGCGTGGTATGTGGGTGGGTTAACAGCCAAGTCGCACACACACACACACTCAGGCATGGACAAGCCTTTAAAATCGAAAGCAAGGGAAACGAGACCAAGCGAAACAAATCATAAAAACTGCTGCGACGACTGACAGAAGGAGTGGAAGGGGGAGAGAGCGGAGTGGGGGCAGCTGTTGGTGTTGGGGACTTAAGGTTTTTGCAGTGGCAAGCCATAAAAAAATAAGGCAAAGTGGCGTGTAAGAAAGCCAATAAAAAACGCACGAGAAATGTGAGACAAGTGCAGGAGCAGGAGGAGCAGCAGCAGGAGCAGGAAACCATAGGCAGCTCTCGCTCAACAGCAGTTGGGGTTAGCTTATATGTGTGTGCGTGTGTGTGTGATGTGTGTGGTATGTAGTGAATGTGGTGCGATTGCCGTTAGCTATTGGGATTAGTCAGTGGGTAGCACTTTGTGCCGCATTTGAACACCAAGCATATAAAGCCAATGACTTTAATTGAGTAGAAAGATTGAGATGAAATTCCGGATGTGAAACTATTAGAGCCCTGGTATTTCAATTGTGGCTAGCTGCAGATATCTAAGGTAGATGCTGAGAGATTAAATGCAATTATTGGATTGCTCTTTGCAAAGCTGCTTCAAAACAGCAAAGCATAGAGCTTTGGGTGAAAATAGAATAATGAAAACATATGGAAACTAAAATGTGAACAATTGTCTATTTCACTGGGGGAATATAATGGAAATAAATATTAAAATAATAAAATATAGAAATATTTACATGAATGAAAATGAAATTTTGATATAAATAACAATGCATATTTTAATATAATTTATTTAATAATTTAAGTCATAAATCATTCTATATTGTGACTTCAATTTGAGTAGAATTTATAGAAAAAAGGGTTAAAAATAAGTAACTGTTTTTGTAAAAAAAAAAATTTAAAATATTAAATATAAATATTTAATATTAATATTCATTTTTTGTTTGACTAAAGAGAGAGATATTTATAAACATTTAGTACTAATATTTGTTCTTAATTGATTGAAAAACATTCGAATTCCGTACAGCAAGCTAAAAAGAAATATATAATTTAATACTTTGCACTTATTCATAAAATACAACTCTACAAATTGTTTATTATATGATAATTTATAATATTAATTAATTTATTATATTATTTATATTTGTTAGCAAGAAAATTCCACATCTTAATATTATTCAAAAAGCATTTTATGACAAATCAAATCAGTATTTATTTAAAATTTCTTCTTTTTATCACAATTTATATACATCTTCGAGATATTCCTAAGCCTTGTTCAATACAATTTCTCTCTTATTTATGTACATAAGTTTATCTTTAAGGATATT